AACAACACAAAACTTGCAATTAGATACTCCATTGCCCTTTCACTGTATTGTGTATTTCTGAGATCTTAGTATTAATCTTCTGGATTTCTAGTTACAAGTTATTGTGTTGTATTATGTAATTCCATTGAAGCAATGGAAGCCCAAATTAGTGAGCTTGAGCAGTAATCTCTTAGTATGCTATAACAACAATCAGAAAATAGAGTGAAAAAATGTGAGGAAAACCAACGAGCTATTTGGGACTCCATGTAGAGGAACAACTTACTGGTGGTTGGAATTCCAGAATAAGAAGAAACAGCCACAAAAAAAATTGGTCAAGAGTTGTTGGAAGAAAACTTCCCTAACATGAAAGATGAGAAGATAAGCATACACAAAGCTGAACAAACCCCAAACGGGATGGATCTCAAAGAAAATCACCAAGACATGTCATAATCAAACTTTCTAAAATCAAAGACAAGGAAGGAATCCTGAGAGCAACTTGGGAAAATGAAAAGTTACTTACAAAGGAGAACCAATAAGAATAATATCAGATTTCTCATTAGAAACTATGGAGGCAAGAAAGCAATGGAATAGCATATATAAAACTCTGAAAGATAAGATTGCCAACCAAGAATTACATACTTAGCAAAGCTGCCACTCAAATAGGATGCTCCTCATTAGGACATTTCTTGATAAACAGTAATTAAAGGAATTTGTAATGACCAGACCAATTTTGCAAAAAATGCTAATGGGTTTTCTTTGGAATAAGAACCAACTGCAGCAGACAACAACCTGAGATTACCATACATGACAACAATACCCAGAACTTGATCCAAATGTGTAGAAGTATTTAAAGTAAAACAAACCTACAAACAGAAAATAGGGAACCAGAGTTATCAATGTATAATTAAGTCAACTAAAAAGCAAAAATAGGGAATAATGTAGATACAGAACTTCCAAATGGCATGGAAGTCAAGTAGATTTCAAGATAAAACAGCCAGTTATAAGCAAGGGGAAAAAAAAAAAAAGATAAATTACAGAGTAAATGCAAAGAAAAATAATATGCCATCACATCAAAATAAAAAAAGAGGAAAATTAGAAAGATTTAGTAAACATTGACATAATAGAAATGAAAAGAAAACCCACAAACAAAATGAACTCAGAATAGAAAATTATATGGAATCCAGCAGCATCAAAGAAATAAACCACACACACACACAAAATGACAACAATCAATTCATACCTATTGATACTTAACACTGAATGTAAATGGATTAAATGCACCAGTCAAGAGACATAAAGAACAGTATAGATAAGAAAACAGGATCCTTTAATATACTGCCTACAGGAAACATCAGAAAGATCCAGACAGCACAAACGCCCATCTACAGAATGGTTAAACAAACTGGAAGTGCACATAATGGTATACTACAAAACGTTGAATAATGAGGAATCAACGAAATAGCTCACAACATCGTTGAATATGGAGGACATTATGCTGAATGAAATTGTTGTTGTTAATTGCCATTGAGTGGTTCCGACTCTAAGTGACTCTGTATAGTGTTTCTGAGGCCCTGCTGGTGTATTTGAACTGCTGACCATGTGGTTCGCGGTCCTGTGCTGATCCTACAGTGCCACACTAGGAGTCCAGTTAGAAGTGTAATTAGTAAATTATGAAAGGACAAATGTATGAGACCAATGTTGTAAAAAGTTAAAAAAAGTTTTCATTCTTTTTTAAAGCTTTTATTTTGAATTAAGTGATAGTCTACATGCAGAATATCAATTTGCACTCAACCAATCGCATCAGTTTCGTTGTAATGATTACAGTCCCCTTATTTGAAAGAAATACGCAGAAAAATGCAGGAGTATATATAATCTTTTAAACAACCAAAGGACATATTTTGCAAACCAGGCTCCTGTCTGTCAGTATACAGCTTTCCTGTTTGCATGAGTCTAGGGTCCTCAGATGCTCTCTCTCTCTCACAGTGCCATCGCCTCTGCCTCTGTCCCTAGTGTGGCTTCTTCTCTGTTTAGGATCCCAAGTTCTGCACATGCTCTTCCCTCTTGTTTATCTTAGGGTCCTCTGTTCTGGAGTGTAAGATTGTTGTTGTTGTTATGTGCTGTTGAGTTGGTTCCAACTCATAGTTACCCTGGGGTTTTTTCTTGATTAAACAAACTGTCTTTGATGGTTAGAGGCGGTGGGGGAGAAGGGAGGGAAAATTATTCATGGGCTAGAGGTTAGTAACATGTTAATATTGGTGACAGGGCAGGCAATATATAACAAGGGAAGTTAGTAGAGGAAAGATAAAGGTAGTGTGGGAGACACAGGGAGGAACGCAATAAAATGAATTAGAGGTAAATGTTTACTGTTGGTACATGGAGGGAATTGCAAAGTGTATGGTTTGTAGAATGTAAAATTGATGATCTGCTCTGTCAGCCTTCACTCAATTCACAATTAAGTTAAAAACAACAAAAAAAGAGATTGTGTTAAAATAAAAAAGGTCCAAGTCTTCATTAATTTTAGTACAGGTAGTTTCTGCTTTAGTATGTATTTGAGTTGCTATAAACCACACTTTCAATGGTCTTTTTTTTTTTTTCTTTGTACATCTTGCTGTTAGTAATATGTAGTTAAATACAGTGTTGCAGCACATATTTTGCTGATTATTAATATTCTCAAATGTTCACTCATAGGTATACCATGTAATGTTCTTTAAAGAAAATAAAAACATATTGCAACTACAAAAAAAAAAAAAAAAAGGTTTTTGGTTTTATCTCAGAACAAATTTGTGATGGAGTCATAAGAATAGAACCCCACCATAAATTGGAGACTACCTGTATTAGAATTGGAGCATGCTTACTTCTTGAGTCTTTATCTTTTCTTTTTCATGTGTATTTACTTATGTATGGTCTATCAAATGAATTTTGTTTTATAAAGTATACTTAACCACTGGTTCAGCTGCTTTTTAGGACTTTGTGTCTTTCGAGTTCCACATATGAACTGCTCAAGTCTATTATTGCTAGTCTGTAATGTTGTTGGTAAGTGCTGTCGAATCAGTTCTGACCCATAGTGACCTTGTATAAGGGTTTCCGAGGAGTGGCTGGTGGATTTGAACTGCCTACCCTGTGGTTCAAACTGACCTTGTAGCCCAGTACATTATCCTGTAGCACCACACCAGCACTCCAATCTGTAATAGTGGTGGAGGTGGTGATGGTGGCTATGTACCGTGGAGTAAGTTCTGACTCACAGTGACCCTGTATAGGGTTTCTGAGGCTGTGAATCTTTACTGGAGCAGAAAGCCTCAGCTTTCTCCTTTGGAATGACTGGTAGTTTTGAGCTGCTGACTGCGAGATTAGCAGCTCGACTTGTAATCACTAGGCTACAAGAGCTCCTTCCAGTCTGTAATTGTTGTTGTTAAGTGCCGTCGAATTGATTCTGACCCATAGCAACCCTGTATAGGGTTTCCAAGGAGCAGCTGGTGAGCTTGAACCACCAATCTTGCAATTCAAACAGCTTTGCAGTCTGGTGCATTAACCCACAGTGCCACCCACATAGGCTGTCTTTAATCTCTGAGTTGGAGCTGAATCAACAGCAATTAACAGCAACAGTTTTTACTAATGTCACCATACTTATATTGAATCTTATTTGGATGTTGAGCAAGTAGGTTGTTGTTGTTAAGTGCTGTTAAATCTGTTCCGACTCATAGTGCCCTTGTATAGGGTTTTGGATGAATGACTGCTAAATTTGAACCACCAACCTTCTGATTAAAACCAACCTTGCAGTCAAGTGCTTATCCTATTGTTGTTGTTTTGTGCCATGGAGTCGGTTCTGACTCATAGCGACCCTGTACAGGGTTTCCGAGGCTGTAAATCTTTACGGGAGCAGAAAGTCTCATCTTTCTCCCACAGAACAGCTGGTAGTTTCCAACTGCTGACCCTGAGGTTAGCAGCCTGATTTGTAATCACTATGCTACCAGAGCTTATCCTATCTGTAGTGCTATTTAAAAATCAAGTTCTTTAGGGCTAATACTGTTTTTAATGTATAGACAATAAAAACAAAAAAAAAACCATATATATGCCTACTTCATTTTGGAGTTCTGGTGTGGTGCTGTAGGATAAGCACTGGACTGCTAATTAACAAGGTTGGTGGTTCAAATCTACTAGCCACTCCTCGGGATCCCTATACATGGTCATTATGAGTGGGAACTGACTTGATGGCATTTAACAGCAACATCTTCATTTTCCTTTAAGAAAGTGAAAATTGTTACTTGTAGATACACTTTTATGACTGTGGACTCTGCAAATTTAAATTTTTTAATGATAAAAGGAGATGAAATGATAAAATTAATACTAAACTTTTTTCTATTTCAGTATTAATTTTTAATATAGGTAATATTCGCACTTGGCAAAATGTTCAAAAAGGATAAATGAATATACAGTGAAAAGTCTCCTTTTTATACCTGGTACATTAGCCACTTGTTCATTTCCCTGTGGGCAACCACTGTTACCATTTTCTTGGAAATTTCTCTAGAAATAGTCTATGCATATAAGCAATTATGTACTATACTTTCCCCTTTTTCGTTTTGAAAGCAATGGCAACAACAACATAAATTATAACATACATAAATACTTCCTTGTATTTTAACTTAAGAATTGATCCCAGAGACAAATCGGTGCTATTGCATGAAGAAAATTTTCACTTTTTTTTATTGCTATACAGTGAGAATAACTAGTGTTAAGAATGTGGTTACGAATCGGGCTGCGAACCTTAACGTCAGCGGTTCGAAACTACCAGCTGCTCCGCGGGAGAAAGATGAGGCTTTCTACTCCCGTAAAGATTTACACCCTCGGAAACCCTGTACAGGGTCGCTATGGGTCGGACCCGACTCAATGGCACTTAACAACAACAACACAGTGAATTCATGCAGTATTTTTTAAAACACAAGTCATTTTTGTGTGATGTTAAACTAGATGATTTTTATTACATATTGGGAAAATGTTAAATCAATTTTTTTCCCTTTCTTCAGATAATCAGACAGCTAAATGGAGTCTGAGCAGCTGTTCCATAGAGGCTACTATAGAAACAGCTACAACAGTATAACAAGTGCAAGTAGTGATGAGGAACTTTTAGATGGAGCAAGTGTTATTATGGACTTTCAAACTTCTGAAGATGACAATTTGTTAGATGGTGACACGACAGTTGGTAAGTTCGCCATTACAATTCTTAATATTTTCAGTCATGGATATCTGATGACTGTATGCATTGTTTTGTAGAGGTTTTTGTTTTTTGGGCTCTGACATTTGGCGAGCTTTGTTATTTTTGATTGAATTCTGGATGTTGTTGAACAAACACATTGAAGCTCTGGAAGATGATATCTTTACTAGAATGGATTCAATTTTTTTTGTGTGTGTGTGAGTATGTCACAAGTTATGTAGATTTTGAAGGTCCCTAGGTGACACAAATGGTTCACATTTGGCTATAATCTAAAGGTTGGTGGTTTTAACGTACCCAGAGGCACTGTGGAAGAAAAGTGTGTTATTGAGATTGTTGTTGTTGTTGTTAAGTACTGTGGAGTTGATTCTGACTTATAGTGACCCAGCACAGGGTTTCCGAGGCTGCAAATCTTTACGGAAGCAAAAAGCCTCATCTTTCTCCTGTGGAACAGCTGGTAGTTTTGAACTGCCAACCTTGAGGTTAGCAGCCCAATTCATAACCACTATACTACCAGAGCTCCTTGTGGTATTAAGATTACAGCCTAGAAAATCTTAATGGAACCCAGGTCTGTTTTATAACACCATAGGATCATCTTGTGTCAGGATCAATATATGACAGTGGGTTTGGTTTTGGTTGCTTATGTAGACTTGGAGAAAATTAACTTGATCCCACCCAGTATTGAAATAATTTATAGCTTTGTTTCAGATCTTCTGAAGGTAATTTTAATTCCCCCTTATTTTTAAGGTATCATCCTTGAGAATTTCAGTACAAAGTTTGGGGCTTTAAACTAACACACGTGCTCTTTGGTGGACAATGAAAATTAGTTTTAGTCTTTCAGGCATGTTGAAATTGTGGACAGTTCTGTCTTTGCTTGGCTTTTCAGCTTCTTGTCTGTGCAGTTTGTTGTTGTTAAGTGTTGTTGACTCAGTTCCAACTCATAGTGACCCTGTGTACAATAGAACAAAGCATTGCCTAGTTCTATGCCTTCCTCACAGTAGTTCTGTGTTTGAGCCCATTGTTGTAGCCACAGTGTCAGTCCATCTTGCCATGGGTCTTCCTCCTTTTCTTAGATGCACTACTTGCCAAGCATGATATCCTTTTCCAGGGAATGGTCTCTCCTGACAATATGTCCAAAGTACAAGAGATGGAGTCTTGCCACCATTGCTTCTGAGGTGCATTTTGGCTATATTTCTTCCAAGACAGATTTGTGTGTTCAACTCTGTAATTCAGTTGCATTGATACTTCTATGGTCTTCTTCATTCATTGTCCAACTCTCACATGCATATGAGGCTGTTGGAAATACCGTAGTTTGAGTCAGGTGCGTCTTAATTCTCAAAGTGACATGTTTGCTCTTTAACATTTTTAAGAGGCCTTTTGCAGCAGATTTGAAGAATGCAATATGTTCTTAGACTTCTTGATTGCTGCTTCCATGAATGTTAATTGTGGATCCAAGTAAAATTTAGTCTTTGACAATTTCAGTCTCTTCTTTGCATATCATGATGTTGTGTATTGGTCCAGTTGTGAGGATTTTAAGTTTCTTTACACTGAGGTGCAAACCAAACTGTAGTCTTTGATCTTCATCAGTAAATATTTATTTTTGCTTTGCTCTTTGCTTTCAGCAAGCTTCCCCTGCAAACAAGGTTGTGTCATCTGCATACTGCTGGCTGTTAATGACTCTCCCTCCATTCCTGATGCCACATTCTTCTTCGTATAATTCAGTTTCTCAGATTGTATGTTTAACATTGAATAAATGCAGTGAAAGGATACCATTTAAGATTGAATGTTTAAGATTGAATAAATGCAATGAAAGAATACCATTCTGACACCATTCCTGAATTTAAACCATTCAGTATTCCTTTGTTCTGTTCTAACAACTGTCTATTTGTCTATGTACAGGTTCCTATGAGCGCATGCACAGTGCTATTCATAGCTTGGTAGGATCTACGTAGTTGAATGCCTTTGTATAGTCAATAAACCACAAGTAAACATTTTTTGGTAGTCATGTTTTTAGTCTGATGTTGTTGTTGTTGTTGTTGTTAGGTGCCATCGAGTCGGTACCGACCCATAGTGACTTTATGCACAGCAGAACGAAACACTGATAGCAGCAGTGATATCCCTCATTCCATATTTATGAAGTTTAGGAATTGTAAATCTTTTGAGGGGGAAAATTAGCATAGATTTCTTTGTCATCTCCAGGATAATGACCTTGGAGTACTTAGCATTGGTGGTTTTAAACTCTAATTTTTGGCTTCTTGATTCCATGAAATTGCCCAAAGTACTGAAACTTCACTTTATGCTGTACCTCTCAGTTTCTCTGCTTATGCATCAGGAAGCAGCTAAAGGGAAAAGTGATAGAGAGTCTTGGATTTACTATTTTAAGTTCTGTCTTCCTAGTAAGCATTCTGAATTTTTTTTTGTTTTTTGTTTTTCACTCAGTTTTTATAGTTATTATTGTTTGCCTAATTGGTTGATATAAATTATAAATTATTACTTCATAGCTGGGATTTGAATTCCCAAAGCTGAATTTTAGGGACAAATACATTAGTTTGCTTTAAATGATAATTTGCTGTCTTGAGCATTAATTTTTTTTCTAATTTTAACTATAAACTTGTAGGGGTCAAATGAATGCATATATTCCTAATATGAAAAATAGTACAGTTTGACAGCTTCTCCATTTTTAAATTTAAATAGCTATTTGGCTATTAATGTTGCCATTGAGCTCATTATGACTTATAGTGACCCCATGCTTCATAGAGTGGACTGAAATCCATAGCGTTTCTTGGTTGTAATCTTAATAGAAAGGCAGTGTTAAATAGGAATGGGAAGTGGTATGAGCAGCTTGTGATAGGGTAGAATTGAGTTGTGTTATGAAGAGTGAAAGGAAATGGCACCTTCTCTTATACACAAGGAATCCAGTGGTTAAATGTGCTCAGCTGTTAACTTTTCACCAGACTTAAAGGTTGATGGTTGAATCCCACCAGTCGTTCTATGGGAAATCAATGAGGCAAACTGCTTTTGAAATATTTACAGCAGTTCTACACTATCCTATAGTATCACTATGAATTGGAATGGACTCATTGGTAGTGGATTTTTGTGCTCTTAAACATCTCATCTGTTTTAATATTGGTAATATGATGTGGGTGTCTTTTTTGGTGTTTCATTTCTGCTTAACAAACTACTTTAAAACTTAGTGACTTAAAGCAGTAGTAATTCCTATTTTTTATAATTCTGTGTTCACTGGACACTTCTACAGTTTCATATGGTCTCTGTTAGCAGAGGTGCTGTGACACCTGGAAGGTCCAAAATAGCCTTACTGACTTTCTGGATTCTTTCCATTTGTGCCTTTCTATCTGACTAGTCCTGGTGTGGCGCTGTGGGTTAATGCACCAGACTGCAAAGTTGTTTGAACTGCAAGGTTGGCGGTTCAAACTCACTAGCTGCTCCTCGGAAACCCTGTACAGGGTTGCTATGGGTCGGAATTGACTTGACAGCACTTAACAACAACAATCTAACTATTGGTGGTGTTGTGGAATAAACAGTGGACTCCTAATCACAAGGTTGGCAGTTTGAATCCATAGAAACTCTTTGGGAGAAAGTTGAGGCTTTCTGCTCCTATAAAGTTTGACAGTTGTGAAACCCTATCACTACGAGTCAGAGTCATACACAAGAGCAACAGCATCTGACTGTGAGCTATGTAAGGTGATCTCAGGGTAGTCAGACTTCTTACATGACAGTTTCTAAGAGGGTGTGTTCCAGGTATGCAAAAGAAGAAGCTATAGATCTCTCTAAGGTCTAACCCCAGAAGTTATCTCTTGTAACTACTTTCTGGTGGTCAAAACGAGTCACTGGCCCAACCTATAAGAAAGGGAAATAGACTTTATCATTTCATGGATGAATTGACAAAAAAATTAGGACCATGTTGAATCCATGTCAGCATGTATCAACAAACTTACTTAAGAATGAGGTGGTAGATGTGTTAGTTTTTTAGGCCATATGGTCTCTGTCAAAAGTATTCAACTCCACTTTTGTTAGTCATTGCTTGTGGAAGTACAGGTTGCAGTTTACCAACCCCTGCACCAGTGTCTCACAAACTGGTAGTTTGAATCTACGTAGTTTATAAATGTTTCAGTAATAAAACTTAGGTAACAGCCAGGGAGAAGGGTATTATATTAAAACATGGAACCTGGCATTTCTCAGTCATTCAGTGCAATTTTCAAACTGAAGGATTGTTGAGAGGACAGTGTGCATCTGGGGTCAGTAACCTAGGACCTGAGACCAAATCTGTTCTGCCATCTGATTTTGTGAACAATGCATATAGGAATACAGCCATGTCCATTTGTTTCCATATTATCTATAGCCGCTTCCATAAATGGCAAAATTGAGTGGTTGTGACATAGACTGACTGTTTGGCCCACAAAACCTAAAAATTTACAATCTGGTTTTTCATATAAAACTGTGCTGAGAAACTGGTGGAATCAATAGTGTCAGAACTCTGGAAACCAGTCAAAGTTTCTAAGTAAACACTGGTTCAAGAAAAAAGTGACATATAAACATTAGGAAAGCAGTGGCTCTCCACCTGGCCATATCCCTCCCGGACTTGGCCTGATCATCTTGGGTGGTTATAGTAGTATCCGGGTGTTGGGACAGCCACAGTTGGCACTCCAGGAGGTGAGCCTGGGTTCCAGACTTGTATTAAAGTGGTGATGGCCAGCACTGTCAGAGAAGGATACTATTGTTAAGTATACAACTACAACCTTCACCAATTGAACCAAAAGAAGGAAAAAAAACAAAACAAAAAACCCCCCGAGCAAATCCTGGGGAAGAAGAAGCTGGAATCCTGAGTTACCACATTATAATAATCAAATGTCCCAGATTCAATAAGCAAATCACAAGGCATACAAAGAATTTTTAAAGAATGTGTCATGCAAAAGAACAAAATATTGTGTGCTGTTGGAACCCTCTGTGATAAAGCAGAGCCTCTCTGTAAG